TATGTGCAGGAAGAGTCTTTAGTTTTCATATATTTGCATAATACAACCTCAAAATAAAAAATAAATCACCAACATTAATTCCTTTTTTTATTCAAATATATGGACGTTATTCGTATATAAAAAAAGCTTTAAATATTCCTCGAACGTTAATTAACGTTAACGTCTCCCAGCAGCCCAGGGGCACGTGCTACCTATCCACCTGCGCTCTCTACCCTCTAACCACTCCTTCAATCCAGCACGTTCCCAACTTCCTTCTCCCGTGCAGTGCCCCGCCACCTATTTAGACGCTCCAATCCTCTTCCCTCCCATTTCATGTCCCCCAAATCCCCTTCTCTCTCTCTCCCTGTTTTCCACCATGTCGATCCTCCTCCTCCTCCCCCTCCTCCTCCTGCTCCTCATACCCTTCTTCCTAAACACTAAACGATCCAACCTCCCCTTACCTCCAGGTCCCAAAGGCTCCCCCATCGTCGGCAACCTCCTCCAACTCGGCCCCAAACCACATCAAACCCTCTACAAGCTCTCCCAAACCTACGGCCCCTTGCTCCACCTCCGCTTCGGCCTCCACCACATGATCGTCGTCAACTCCGCCTCCATCGCCTCCAAACTCCTCCGCAACGATGCCATCATATCCAGCCGTCCCACCAGCTCCAGCGTCAAACACCTCGCGTACAACCACCAGGATCTCATCTTCGCGCACTACGGCCCCCGATGGCGGATGCTGCGAAAGATCTGCGCGCTCCAGCTGTTCTCGCCGAAGGCGATGGAGGATCTCGCTCCCGTGAGGGCGGATGAGGTGGGGAGATTCGTGCGGGAGTTGGCGGGGAAGGGGGATCGGGAGGAGCTGGTGAATCTGAGCGAGGGAATAAGTGGGTGTGCGGCGGATGCTCTGTCGAGGGTGGTGGTGGGTAGGAGGGTGTTTGGGGATGGAGAGGAGAGCAGGGAGTTTAAGGACATGGTGGAGGAGATGATGAATCTGTCTTCTGCTTTTAACATTAATGATTTTGTGCCCGGCCTTTCTTGGCTGGATCTTCAGGTAATGCATGAAAACCAACATACCATTGATGTAAATATAAAAATATAGATGTTAGATGTGTAAAGATGTTAGATGTGTAAATTGTGTAAATACATAAGAATTGTGTGGAACACGGACAGCATGAAAACTTAATTGCGTACAGAGTATCAGGGTTTAATTAGAGCTTTGAAATGCAGGGATTGGTGGCGAAGATGAAGAAGCTGCATCGGAAATTTGATGAATTTTTGGATAGAGTGATTGAGGACCATAAAGCGAGGCTGACGGAGACTGCGGATGAGGTCTCCGGCGGCGGCGGCGGTGGCCGTGGACGGCATAATGATCTGCTAAGCGTGCTGATAGAGGCGAAGGAGGAAGCGCATGGGGAGGGAATTACTCTCACTGATGCAGACATAAAGCCACTTTTACAAGTAATAATTAATTGCATTGAAATATATAGTGGTATATACGTAAATCTTCTAATGTTTTTTTTTTATATAAATTCCAATAAATAACTAAGTGTATATCTGACGCAGAACATGTTCGCCGCCGGTACCGACACGTCGTCGAACACAATCGAATTCGTTCTCGCGGAGCTGATCCGCCACCCCGACCTTCTCTCTCGCGCCCAACAGGAACTCGACAATGTCGTCGGCCGCCGCCGCCTCGTCGCCGAAACCGACCTCCCCAACCTCCCCTTCCTCCAAGCCGTCATCAAAGAGACCTTCCGCCACCACCCCGCCGCCCCTCTCTCCCTCCCCCGCATCATCTCCGAAGACCACCAGATCGACGGCTACCTAATCCCTAAGGGCGCCACTCTGCTCATCAACATTTGGGCCATCGGCCGAGATCCGATCGCCTGGCCCGACGAAACACTGTCTTTCCGGCCAGATAGGTTCCTCCCCGGCGGGCAACACGAGCGGGCCGACGTGAAGGGGAACGACTTTGAACTAATTCCTTTCGGCGGCGGGAGAAGGATCTGCGCCGGGATGAATTTGGGGATGAGGATGGTGCAGTTCATGGCCGCAACTCTGGTGCACTCTTTCGATTGGAGATTGCCGGAGGGGCAGCTGCCGGAGAAGTTGGATATGGATTTGAGCTTCGGGCTCACCCTGCACCGGACCGTACCGCTCATGGTTCGACCGGTCGCCCGGCTTGAACCGGAGGCTTATTTGTGAAGCGGTTGTGGACCGCTGTGGTGGTATAAATGTGGAGAATTTATTTAAATACGGGAAGTTTTCATGTCATAAATAAAGGGTGTTAATTCAGTCAATGCAATTGGAGTTCAATAAATTGCATGTCATAAAGTTTCTAATTTAGAGGCTATGTGTGTAGATACATAAGGATTTAGTGGCATGCTTGTAATTTTTTCCTTTTCGGGGTGGGGTTTTACAGATGCAACGCAATTCTTATGAACTTTCGTATCTAACACGGGAACTTTAATTTTCTACATTTCTAAAAAAAATTCTCATTTCACTTCTAAAGTATTATTATCATTTATTTTTTAAAAAGTGAAATATACTTATTGATGCATGGTTAATAAGGTGGTATTAATGCAAATATCAAAATTTTGGTGTTAAATTTGTAAATACAAATGAATTATGTGGCATATATGTAAAATTTCCTCTTTTTTTCCATAAAAGTTCTCTGTTTTTGGTCCTATGGTGATAGAAGTATTCTAGAATTTCATAAAGGTTTGAGCATACTTTAATCTTAGCCTTTAATTTGATTCTGATGGTTAAGAATTTTCCATCCTTTAGGCTATAGCTAAATATTGAAATATATTTTAATTATTTTATATTTCTAGTTATCTAAGAAAATTATAAAGTTAATTTCATATAATTTCGATAAAAAAATTGAACTGTAAATTATTTAATTCAAAATATATATCGTTCTTCTATTTAAAAAAAATAGAAAACTAAGCTCAGAGCATACATTTGTATGCATCTTACTAAACGAATGAATCAAATACATGCTTTTTAACTAGTTATTCTTGAATAAGATCTATATTAAAAAAACTATTACTAAACGAATGAATCAAATACATGCTTTTTAACAAGTTATTCTTGAATAAGATCTATATTAAAAAAAAAAAAAACTAAAAAATAAAAATAAACGTAAAAACCTGTTTTTTTTTTTAATATAGATAAAAACAAAAACAAAAAAAATCACAAATAACCCCTTCATTTATTTATTTCTCGAGCATGCCTCTTTTACTATATCAATGAGATTCACCATTGATTTTTCTAGAGTTCATGTTATGCTGCAAAGCACCAAATAAAACCTTTTCTTCAAGTTCAATCAATAGATGAGTGTGCATGATTGCATGTGTAGTAGTGGTGAGGGTCTAGATTAAGAACGTGCAGATGATCTGTACATGCAGATGGATGTACTCGACGTATACTCGTATACTCAAAACGTACTCGAAGTATTCTTGGGTTAATACGCATGTTAGGATGACTCCCCGTAATATTTTCTTCCAAAATTAAGCGGGGGGGACGGGAGCAAGCATAACAAATAAGGATGATGTTTCATAGAAATGGGAACACAATAACACAACACACCCTCATACAATACATAAAATATTCCCATTTTAACATTTTCCTACATGCTAAACAATAAAATTAGACATGAAATTGAATCAAATCCAAACAACTGTGGGAGAGAAACATCACTATACATGATCAGGTGAGAATGAACAACATATAAAGCAAAATTATAATTAAAATTACATAAATACCTTTCTAGGTGAGCAGACTTCAGAAAATACCAATAAATGAGGCTCAACTTTCATTTACGTCTGCAGTCTAAAATCTGGTCCTAAAATACCAATCTGCACTGCATCTCCAGTGTACAAATTCAACGGTAACCATTGCCAAGTATCTGGTCCTAAAATTCATTTTACTAATGTAGATCAGTGATAAACTACCCAGTACTAATACTGGTCAACGAATATCTAAAATATTACGAAAGCTCCAGATCCAAAAGATTAATCTAAATGAATAAGAAAAATAAATATATAAATAAATCGACCCATAAAAACAAAAGCAATCGGTATGCGCCAACATACACAAACATATAGGGATATCAGAAAAATTTATCGTTCGCAAAAACTCGTGTTCAGCGTACTAAATAAAGTTGTAATTGTATTATTTTTTATGTGAAATTAAAGATTTTGAGTGCTATATGTGTAAATATGAAAGTTTGGGAGTGAGATATGTAAATACATAAGAATAGTGTGCTATGTATGTAAATGCCCCAAGATTTTTTTATTAAGAGAAATGGTACGGTTAAAGGAAAATATAAACGAACCTGCATAAATCTATTCACGAGCGAGGGACGATTTCTTCGACAGCAGAACTTGCCGGTTTTTCAACTCCCACAAACTTTAAAATGAATTCAGCCACAATGTCCGGCTTTTCCACATGAGGAAGATGGCCACAATCTGGTATTTGATGAAAATCTGAATTCGGCAGTTCAGCATGCAACCTCTGCAGAAAATATTCAGACAAAAAATTACATGATAAGGGTGGAAGAAATTTAGATGCTGGAATGGAACACAAATATATAAATTTGGGAAACCAAATCCTATGTATTTACATATCTAACACTTATTAAACTTTGCTTTTTCATATCAATGACACCATCTTTCATGTCCTATAAAAAAGGCCGCCATCTCTAACTTTTAAAAAGAGATACACCTTTTCATGCATAGATAAGGTGATATACGTAAAAATCAAAGCTTAGGTGTTAGACATGTAAATATATATGAATTGAGTGATATGTATGAAAATCTTCCTGTAAAATTTTAAGCAGAGATTCTTATCCAAGAAGAGTTCCAAATGTTGATTGGCAAAACATCATTTTGTAAACTTGAATAGCATTTTGAATTCTCTTTAATGTTGAAAATAGCGCAAAAAAAAAAACTGACGGAAATACAAACGAGACAGACTCAGTCCAGAAGAGGAAATTTCATGTCAGACAAAAGAAATGATAGAGCGAATGATGGAACTATAGGAGGAAGGGTCAATCCAAGAAGAACTGTAAAACTCCAAGGAAGGTTGGTAGTGAAGGCCAAGACGGCAATTTCTCTACAAATGTCTCCGCGGATAAAAGTCAATGTGACTCCCTGATTTTATCCCTACAAAATCAATTTGCAACCCCTTAGATAGTCACTTCAAGCTATCCAAGGAACTACAACCCAAGTTTGAAGCAGAAAAAACATAGATGAGGAGAACTCCATATGCTTCATCGGTTGGAAGTTTGATATATATTATGATTTATACAAGACCGGATATTATATATGCAGTGGAAGTTGTGAACAAATACATGGGCAATCTAGGCAGGTATTATTGAGAGGCAATAAAGTGGATTCTCAAGTATTTTAGGGATAGGGAAACAACCAGCAGTGCATTTTGCTTTAAAGTGTTGGGATCAATCTACAGGGATTCAGATCAATGTAGATTCAGATCTAACAAAAGATTTGGATCGTAGAAGAAGTACAATATAATATATCTTCATTATGGGGAACACAATAGTGAGTTAGGTTTCTAAACTGCAGAAAATTTTTGCACTTTCAACAATGAAAGTTGAATACATTGTCATCACTGAGACTAGCAGAGAAAATATACAACTAAAAGGCTTTCTGACAAAACTGGGAAAGGAGCAGGGGATTGGAAAGCTTTATAATGATAATATAAGTGTTATTCATTTTGCTAAGAACACTGTTTTTCATACCAGGGCAAAGTATATTCAACTAAGGTAAAAGTTTCTTCACTCTCCCATGATATGTGCAATTATTCTTGGAGAAGATACACAGATCAAAATCCTGCAAATATATTGATAAAGATGGTGGCTATCGTCAAACTGGAGTCATGCTTGGCTTCAGTTGAAGTCTAGGATGGTTGAGACCGAGGCTGAACCTCACTACGGTATGTGACTAGGAAGATGCTACAGATGGAGGTATATATTTGGAAGACAGGTTTTGGGTGCTATCAGTTTTCAAGTGGGAGATTGTTAAGAAATGAAGCCTAATAGAGCACCCAGGAGTGGACGGATGGTGTACCAATGCCATATCAATGCAGCTACGCCAGCCAAAATGTTACCAAACAGCATAACCACACCAAGTAGCATCGTTTCCCATGTAGCACAAAAGAAATAAATAATTACATACAGACCACCCAAAACATTGATATAATAAATTAACCACCTAGGTAATTTTGTTGAACAACCGAACTGATGTATTTACAGGTGCCACTATCAAACTATTAAGAATTTGATAAAAATGAAAAATATGGGTTGGGATTTTACCATGAATTTTGATATTTGAGTGAGAATTTGAAAAATGGATGAAAGAGGGTGGTTGTTATGTAAATAGCAAGTTTCTGGTGGTCTATATGTAATTGCCCCAATAAATAAATATAAATGTTCAAACAAAGATCAAACCAGTCCTAGTTCTGTGTTGGTGATACGATCATTTTCACCCCATAAAATTAGCGTCTTTTGTTTTACCTGCAGAATGCAAAAGATTAGAGAAAAATAGAATTTTGCAAGATTATTTTTACTGATTGGTGCAGAAGAAATTCAGAAAAGAAAGAAGAGCAATTAACATAAGGCATTTCTAGCCAGAAATAAAAAAAACACCCCATCTAAGTACTATAAAGCTCAAAATTAACTATACTTTCCACTACAGTAAATCAGACGCATAAACTATTATTATTAACATAATCAACAAAAAGGAAGAATGCCGATTTTTTACTCTTTTCATGAAGTCTACTTAACAATATTCCTATATAATATTAATTAATTAATGTTGTTAAAAACAATTCTGCAGCAAAATAAAACTTCCACAGGATGAAAAAATGTTCCTGACATGATGATATGAATAAGAATAAATTCCAATCAGAAAAGTATAGAGTTAATCCTACATAATGCGTGCGGAATGAATATCACAAAAAAAATCAGAATATAGTATGCAATTGCAGATCTTGCCTCAAGCTTTCAGCAGACTGGAAGGTTTCTTTTCAAAAATAAATTCTTCCAATGTCTCCATTTGGTTTTTTGTAGCTTAATTGATCAACTTGCATGAGTATAAATCTCACGTCTAGAATTTCATATTAAATTGAATAGAACTATGCATAACTTTTCAAGTTTCAAAAGTCTGTGAAACAAATATGCACCCAAATCCACATGCAGTAAATATTATCAGTAAAACCAGTATTGATTTTAAAATGAGTAAGCATTTTAAACAATTTTAGCAAACTATATTCCAAATAATAAAACTACCTGCTTTATTTGCTGTCTGACGTTATAACCTCCGCTGAACATAAAATCAATAGTCGCATCTTCCCACCAAGGGAGCAAGCAATGTAGACGACCTATCTGAAATAGAGATGGCAGTTTTTAAAATTTAACGGAAATATATTAAGAGGCACTTTATATTTCAATGATATCTATGATCTTAGAAGTCAAGTCATTTCACAAAGAAGATGACAGAAGACATAAATTTTAAAAAAGAAGATTTACATACATACCACATAATTCTATTATATTTGCATATCATTTTTACATGCATACCACCCTACCAATGCATGAGAAGCTGTATTTCACCTTTTAAAGGTTAAAATGGTGTTATTTTTTTATGTGATGTGAAAGATTTGGGTGGAATAATGTAAAAGGTAAAGTTTAGGTGTTAGATATGTAAATACATAAGAATTAGGCGGTATGTGTGTAGGTGCCACAAATAGGAACATGTTTACCTATTTTACATAACTCATTCTGCACAAATCGATAATTAAAATAGAAATATTAAAAGCTCTAATTGAAGCAATAACCTGAAAAAATATGTTTAAGTTGAAAAAAAAGTATCACATAACAATTCCTTACATTTGTCCAGTCGAGTGAACGGCTAAGTGAAACATTGTTGAACGCTAATATGTTGGCATAAAGCCTCAATGGAACACTCTTTAATAAGGACACCTGGGAAAACAAGAAAAGACTTTAGCACAAAAAATATATCAATCTTAACTCTTAAGAAGTATTAACTTGGTAATATGAATGAGTACAAAAATAAGAAAATAATGCAAATTGAAAGCCTCGTTCCCAACTTATTTTGGAAAAAGAAATGTTTCTCAGAACCATCATTCAAATCACTTCAACACCATACATGTGTCATATGATATGTGGAATACCATGCACCAGCATTATTTTTACAGCATGCCACAAAGTTGATGTCGAAGGGGTTTTTGTCTAAAAGGGTGTGAAAATTGTTCTTCAGAAAAGAGAGAATACTTGCAAAAGAGGCTTTCACGGGAACTATTTCACAAAAAATCCAAATTTGAAACACTTCTTACCCCAGCATACGCTACAATGCGGGATAATTTACTAAGATTTCCTGTGCCGTCTGCATATACACTTGCATCAATCAAGACCAACCTTGTCACCTGCCAGTCGTAAAAGAAAGGCTTGTAATAAATTAAAAGGAAATTTACATACATACCACACAATTCTTACTTATTTACATATCTAACACCCAAAGTTTTATACTTAGCACTTATAGCACCTTGGTATCATAAGCCTATGCATGAAAATATGTATTTCACTTTTAAAGGGTAATGATAGTGGTATCGTTGAAGTGATGTTAAAGATTTGAATGATATGCATGCTAATATGAATGTTTAGGTGTTAGCTACGTAAATACAAAAGAATTTTGTGGTTTGCATGTAAATGCCCCTAAATTAAAAGAATTTGAAATGCTATTAGCAGAAACATATCATAAAATGGAACAATTTTTGTAGTGGTGTGATGACATCAAAATGAAATGAAATTTCCTCGTTGTAAGAGAACTTAAACATATTACAATCGAAAAATAGTTATTTACAAATCACTAAATTATATTCAAGGATTGATAGTTTACTGCCTCAGGATGAATCACCGAAAAGTCAATGGCAACAGAAGCTCCAAGACTTGGTCCTACTAAAACCATCGGTCGCCCAATATGTGTTCTCCAAAGCTGAAATGCAAATTAGTAGATTGATTAGCATCTTCTCAAATAACGGCAAATAAGTAGCTGAAAATATAATAAAAAAAATCTAAAGAACACAATAGATGAATTATTCAAAGAATGAAATTTTATGCTGCCAGACAAGGAAAACCATGACATAAATCCTTTAAATTCTTGTGTAAATGCTAGAGCGTCCCTTGGAAATGACGCGTTGTATGACCTGAATACAGTGATATTTATAATAGATTAGATACTAAAGAGAGCGAAAAAATATATGCATAAACTAGTCAAGTAAAGAGAAAAGAAATGTAAATATTTAATTCAAGTAAAGTGTATTAAAGATAAAAAATCAAAAAGTGATTTTTCTAGAAGAAGATATTCAATATAGGTGGCTGGGCTATTTTCATACACTTTTCAATAAAGTTTCTAAAATGAAAATATGATGGACACATGATCGACCTATAACATTACTAATAACAAAATGTTTTATTTTTACCCTCGCATTAGTAAAAAAAGTTGAGGAGGCTTTAAAGAAAATCAATGGAGGAAAATCAGTTGAGTCTGATAATATCACAATTGAAGTTTTGAAATATTTAGGAGATTTGAGGGTTTCTTAGCTTACTAAACTCTTTAATATTATTTTAAAAACTAAAAAGATGCCCAAGGAGTCTCAGAAGAGTATTTTGGTCCCCATTTTAAGATAAATGGGATGCACAAGAGTGTGCAAATTATAGAGAAATTAAGTTGAAGTGTCATACTTTAAAAACTATGGGAGAGGGTAATTGAATATAGGTTAATTGAATATAAGTTAAGACGTGATACAAAACTTTTTTATAATCAGTTTGGATTTATGTCGGGCAGTTCTACCATAGAAGACATTTATTGAGAGGTTTGATAGAGAAGTACAACGAGAATAAGGAGGATCTACATATGATTTTTATTGATTTAGAAAAAATTTGTGATAAGATTCCAAGAGAATTCCTATGGAGGGTTATAGAGAAAAAAAGTGTTGACATGACTTACATTCAAGTCATTAAAGATATGTTTACTGGAGTTGTTACTTGTGTTCGAGCGGAAGGATGATTAACCAAATATTTTCCTATTTCAGTTGGATTACATCAGGGACTGGCATTAAGCCCATATCCTTTTGCTTTAGTAATGGATGCTCTTACTGAACATTTAAAGGAGGATGTGCCTTGGTGTATGATTTTTGCTAATGATATCCTTCTTGTGGATAAGACTAGAAAAAGGGTTCAAGTTAAACTTGAATTATGGAGGTTTACTTTGGAGTCTAAAGGCTTTCGTTTGAGTTGATCTAAAACTGAATACATTGAATGTAATTGTTGTAGTAGTAGCTCTAGTGGCAGAGTTGTAAATGTGGGTTATCAAATCATTAAAAGGTGTGATCATTTTTGATATCTCGGTTCTATAGTTCAAAGTGATGATGATAAAGGTGGGGTCTTATTAGTAGAGCTCAAGTTGGTTAGTTAAAGTGGAGAAATGCATCAGGCCTATTGTGTAAAAGAAAAGTACCGCTCAAACTGAAAGGAAAATTTAATAAGATGTTGGTGAGACCTGTAATGCTCTAAGGCGTAGAATGTTGGCCTTTAAAAGAGAAGCATAAAACAAAGTTAAGTGTTGTTGGGATGAAAATGCTTAGATGGATAAGTGGTTTGACACTTAGAAACAAAATGCGAAATGAATATATCCATAATAGGGTTGGTGTAGCTTCAATGGAAGACGAGATTAAAGAGAGTTGTCTTAGATGGTTTGGTGACATTAAATGCCAACCATCTGATTTTTTTCTTAGGAGAGTAAATGTTTTACATTCGGCTTATGTTAAGAAAGGCTGAGGCAGACCTAAAAAAACTTAGGTAAACTATATACAAAATGATCTTAATCTATTAGAGTTAAAAGAAAATATGACACTCAATAGGACGCAATGGAGAAAAAAGATTCATGTAACCAACCCCACTTAGTGAGATAAAGAGCGGTTGCTGTTGTTATAGACGAGGAAAATACAATTTAACAAAAAACACCTCGAAGATATAGCAATTATGAATAAGCAAGAACATCAAACAACATATCATCAACACTCTCCAATTGAGAATTGATATAGGATCATGGTTGCTCACCAAGTTGTCAAAACCATAGATTTGTTTAAAGATACAAGCAAAAATAGAATATGGCAAAGAAGTCATATCAAAATACAACACAAAAAGTGAAGAAACAGATAAATGTATATGTTTTAAAAAGCCAACACCTATTATATGAAAAAAGAAGCAGTGCATAAAGTCAAAAAATATTCAAAATTAATACTTAGAGCTACCTCGTATAGGTGTTCACGTTTTGCAGCCACAGAAGTTGATGGAAGCATTTCTAAAAATGCAAAAACCAAAAGGAAATCAGGTATGAATTTATAAGAACCTACAATCATTTCCCAAAAATCCAAATAATAAGGTAGAATGGTGCAAATTAAATTAAGATAAAAAAAGTACTCAAATCAGAAAAACCCCATCCAAGAATGTCCACAGCCCATGTCTCAAGTCCACCATGCTCGAGATATGGATACACATATCTCCATTCTAAACATGAACTGTAAAAAGAGCTCAACATCAGGTGGCGAGAACCTTCAATGCACGAGCAAGAATTATATGGAAACAATAAAGTTATTACATAACTAGAAACTGAAAATACAAGATTTGCAAATAATTCATAAACTTGCTTATTTATGGGTATCTAATTAGTAATTTATTAGAAGATAACTCCAAAGAATCATGATTCATTAAATGGCAAGATTATTTCCATAACAACTACACATAGCAATTTGAATGACTAACATATGATTAACTGAACTGTTAATAGTTTGAAAAAAAAAGAGAAAAAAAAAGCCTGTTGCACCCGAAATTGATATGTTTTGCTACATTTTTTGCTTAATTAAAAATAATGGAGCATTCATGACACTATGTTTTGTTAATCTTGATGGATTCTTTCATCTTTAATTGTTTCACATGCTATTTCAATATTATGCAGGCATGCAGCACTATTAATTTTTTGGGCTAATTCTTCAATGAAAGACATTAACCAAATATATTAGAATTGGCGAAGAACATTTTCAGGTTACCATGGCTGAAATTCATACATAAGAGATGGCGTACCTGTCGAAACCATGGAGAAGAACAACTGGTTCAGTTGCATTTTGTTGTGTTGGCTTCACACAGCTACTCATGATTGAGCTTCCCAAAAACTGCTCTGAAAGTTTAATCATAGAGATATTTGGAGTAAAATATGGAGCCTAAGGTATCATTTTATGCAAGAAAAAGAAGTTTCTAACACATTATTTCATCTTGGTGTTAATTTTTAAGTGCTTAAAGTGCCAAAATAGTCTCTTGGCTGTTTACATGGGACAATTTAGTCTTAAGAGTTTACAAAAGTGTCAAATCAGTCCTCATTAACTTTAAATTGGGGCTGAAATAATCATCTGTGAAGACTATTTCAGCCAATATTAAAAGAGTTTGAGAGAGGCTAAATTGACATTTTATAGACTTTGGGACTAAAAGAAATTCTTGCAAAAAATCAAAGGACTTTTTCAAGGCAACTTTTAATTGGGTCGTTCTCTAACTAATTTACAAAATGTTCCATTTTTGCTCAGGATGAGGAACTTCAACACTCTCACTACCAAAATAAATTCAAGTTAATCTGTTATTTTCAAGACTCTTTAGGCTAGTGTTATTTCCATAAATCGACCATTTTGGTTCTTTCTGTCAAGACTTATTAATTCCCATAAAATGAAAAACCATGTGCATAATGGTCCTCTATATTTGGTGTTTATATACTTGATGGAAAACCTCTTCCATGAAGAAGCTTAAGAAGGTATGAAGAGGTACACATGATCTCTTCATATTTGCAATACTGAAATTATGGGATAGATAACTGAATGACCAGAGAACAAACAACAATCGTCGTTATTGGCCTTATCCCAACCATTTGGGGTCAAGAAAAACCAAAAAATAGGAAAGATTAAAAACATCAGTGATAGTTTTGCCACAAAAATATGTGAGAACCTGTTAACATCAATTTTTTTTTTTTTTTATGTCACGAGTGTAGGGTGTCCACTTGCATGACTCGGGATAGCTTACGGTCTGTCCGCAATCATCCGGTAGTTTAGACACCCACCCAGTACCTTTCGTCACATGTTGAGGGGCACGTAGCCAGGACATCCGGTAGTTTAGACACCCACCCAGGACCTTTCGTCACATGTTAAGGGGCACGTAGCCAGGATCATTCTGCTAGGTTTTGGCTTTCGCTTATGCGGAGGCCAGTCGGCATTCTGCACATTCTGCTAGGCTTTGGCTTTCGCTTATGCGAAGGCCAGTCGGCATTCTGCACGTCGGCATTCTGCACGTCGGAAAACTCTAATCGGGTCAACGAATATTATTCGTCGCGTCGCGCGCGAAATTGGCTTGAATTGGCCCGATCACTAGTTAGCTCGTTCAGATGACCCCGGACGACGAAACGAACCACGCGAGTAAGTTTGGAATGTCGATTCCACTTACGGAGGATGTCCACTTCACTACGGCTTCGCGGGCGGGGTAAAAATGTGTGAATTATCATTTTGGACACGATAGTCGAAAAAGTAGTCCGGATGACCCCGAATGACGAAACAGACTGCGCCAACGCGTCCGGAACGTCGATTTTACTTAAAAGGTGCAAATGCACGAATAATAATTATAATATTATTATTATTGTTTTTATATAATATATTATATAATATAATAATCTTATATAAAAAAAAACCTCGCTTCTTCCCCTCTCTCCCCCATCGCACGCGATAGATCCGCCGCCCAAGCCCCCCTAGCTCTGAGGTCTCCTCCTCCTCACCGCCGACTTATCCTCGAGGGTGAACGAAGTCGTCGGCGCCCTCTACCTCGTCGGAAACCCTCCAGCCGTGCAGCCCAGCGCCGCCACCTTCCTCTTCTTCTCGGCCAGCCGCGCTCGCGGCGT